TATACAGGGTCTTCGCCAAACTTTGCCATCATTTTAAAAGCAATTATCTTGAAAACTACTAAGTCTAACTCAATAAAATTGAATAGTTTAGGTGTTGAACATCATAACTTTATTATGGACCTGATTTCATAAGCGTTCAATATGTGCACTGCCTGTGACACGGCACACATCAAAATTCGGAGGTTAAGCTCTTACCAAACACGCTGTAGCATGGCTCCGGTAACATTATCCAGTGCGGAAGTGATTCTCTGCTTGAGTTCATCAATGCTAGCGGGAAGAGGGCGGAGACATAGACCAGGTCCCTTCATATATCCCCATAAAAAGAAATCACACGGGGACAGGTCCGGTGACAGCGGCGGCCATTTCATCAGAAAACTGTCTTCATCTCCACCACGCCCCAATCCGTCTCTCTGGCTGATTCTCATTGAGATAGCAAAAATAAAACATTAAATATAACATTTTGATCTGTTTCTATACATTCTGTGAAAAATTGAGGTTATTTCAACAAGAATTGCCAAAATTATCATTTGAGGACAACTATCTAAATAAATAAACCGTAAATTTTCTGTCCGTCCGTATGCCTGAAACCCCTCTAACTTGGACCACATTTGCTCTACATAGACATATTATACCTTTTTGGAATCAGGATGATCACAGGACTGATAATCTGCCCTTTATCTGGTGCTTGAACATCTAACATTAGAAACTGTGTCCGGATGAGGATGGAACCATTAAAATTTTTAAATAACGGGAAAAAATTAGTGATTTTAAAGGTTTTTAATTTATATTGAATTTAAAGTAACATAAAACATCGCGAATTTAAAAAAAAAAATGTTTTAAACTTAGTTTTAAAATATCTCCAAAACTTTGTGAATTGAGGAAATCAATTTTGTTTCTTCAAAATGCCAAGGAATCAGACTAGACGTGAGGTTTTGAAGTTCCGCAGAGTTTGTGATTTGCAGAACTCAACTTTAGCCCGGAATTGCAATTTCGGTACAAATCATTTTTTTTTTTTATATCCGGAATTGTATTTAGAATCAGTGTTAAAGCGATGTTTTGAAGTCTCATGGAGTGAATAGAGAATTATTTCTTCGAAATTATCATTGCAGTTTTCTAAGCTGGGTCAGAGGTAGCCCCTTGTTAGGGAAGTGTATTTTATATTTCTGTTTTTTTTTATGGTAGTGTGTGGAACAAAATAAATTTAAAAGTTTGAATCTTTTGGTGAAATTAAATTTTCCCAGGAAATTTGATTGTGAAAGCATCTGTTGTTCAAATGACTGCTGATTTTGACAGACAAAACAATTGTCACCTATGTTCGCTTAAAAAGCTTAACAGACGAATATAAAAGGTTGTACTTTTGAATGCAAATGGCCTTGAAGGTTAGCGATATTTAAAGTCTGCTTAAGTTTAAAACAAACCAGAGGAAATGACCTTTTTGACCGCTCTTGTGATCAAAGTGTGAGAAAACGCGTGGGTAGATGGGCCCATATATATATATATATATATATATATATATATATATATATATATATATACACCATTTTGGCGAACGACAGAGAGAGGGGGAGAATCAACAAGAGCGATACATCACAAATTGAGTAATCAACACAAACGCAATTCACACACGCCTGAAATTAACTCGGTGTTCAATTCCCAGATAAAAGTTTGAGAATACACACTATGGTTCCTAGTCGCTGCCTCATGTAGCGGTCTTAGTTTGACGCATCTTAGAGGAGGCACGGTGGAGTAATGGATAGCGGCTCGGATTGAGGAATCCGAGAGCCGAGTTCGAATTCCACTCGAATCCATTACATTCACTTACGTGCTAATACACTTGGAAAACGCATGAATCCTCTTTTTCTCCCTCCAGCATTGGGTAAATAGTTCTGGTTCTATAGCCTTGGATGGCAATGGCAAAAAAAATCTGCGGTAAAAAAATCTGTCTTGTCAAGGTACATGATCGCCTAAGCGTGTATCACGCATGGCACTGAATTGACCGATTTATCTTACCTTTATTTACTATTATTAAAACTATCATTTCCAAGCAAGATCAAGCCTTCTCCTTCTTCCGACAACTATAAGACTTTCCTTTTTTTCAGCACGGCTTACTGAATCAAAAAAGAAAGGACCCCCCCTTTCTTATCAATAAGAAAGGCATTTATCAGCAACTCTAGACGATCGACGACCTAAGTGGCACCAACTCCTTGGCCAGTTTAAAACTGTATATAACTAAACCTGAACTCACAGCCATCTTTCTCGTCTATACAAGGCTTACATCCAGATCATGTTGAGACACAAGTTCCCGTACGAAAACCAAAAATAAGCAACGCCGAGCTTGGTCAGCACCTAGTTGGGTGACCGCTTGGGAATACCGCAAGCTGTAAGCTTCGATATGCAGGTGTAATGGCTCGGATTTGGTAATTGGAAAGCAGTTCCAATTCCCGTTGCGTTCATTATCCATTTATGCACAAATACCCTTGGGGAAAGGTATCTTCTTCTTCTCCCCCCCCCCAGCTATAGGTTAATTAGTAAGAGTTTTATCACTAAAACCATTATTATCCAAGAAAAATTCTTACAATCTAAAAATATTTTCTAGCTTTAAATAACTTGCAGAGAGTTGATAGGCCAGAGAAAAAAAATCTCATTTATGCAAAACTATATTTGTGCCTGGATTAATTTTAAAGTTTATTTTTGGTGTTTTTTTTTTTATTTTGTGATGTCCTGCTAGCTTTGGTGATGATATTCTAGTTTTAGCTTCTATAATTAATCCAGATTATGTCATCTCACAGATCAGTTTCAACTCAATGGCACCTGTTGCTAAGAAATAAGTTAATCTGCTTTGCAATTAACAACTCACTATAATGCCCTGCTTACTCCAAGATAGTTCCAATTTTCTCTTTCCCATCTTCCGTCAACCTAAAATGAAGGTCATTTCAACTGACAATCATCTCTCTTTATCAACCGCTAAAACAGTGTCAAGTCATTTCAGGACGTGGACGATCGTGGCTCTCCACAGCTTCCTGTTTTCTTTTGCTATTTTTGCCATTTACCATCCCTTTTCCCCTAACCTTAGCCATCTAGTCACATCTAGATTACTCACTGTTTCTCTTGCTTTCAATGTCCTGTGAGTGTTTAATTCTCTTGGCCCTCTTTCCTCATTATGTGCCTCAGTAATTTCAACAGTTTCTTTCCAATTGTAAGTAGAAGTTTCTTTGTTGTTCTTATTCTCCTTGACTCATTCTAAACATCATTGACAGAATCACATCTACTGCTACAAGTCTTCTTCCTCTGTAAGGAGATTGTATATTTACAAGGGAAATGCTGAACAATGTGACCCTCACCCAAGCTTACCATCAACCAGCCAATGATTACTCCACATTGAATTTCAATCCTCAATCTCATCAGTGCACACTGAAAGCTCGCAAGGTAACACAATGAAAGACAAACGCCACATTAAGAAATAGGAACACGAACCCTATAGCAAAGAAGAAAACGGTGACTTACCTCATCAAACCAAACGACAGCGCGTCGCGTGTATTCTACGACAGAAAATGTGGTGAAAAAGAAAATTACTTACCAAACAAAAGGGCACGTATTCCGCATGACATGCTGAAAATGGAATAATTGAATTAAAAAAAACAAGTCCGTCGCAGGAGTCGCTATAAAAGTATTTTGATATGCAAATTACTGAACATCCTCTCCCAGCTGTCGATGAATGAAAAAAAATGTTCGGCCGATAAAAGCAGTGTTCTCGAATCGTGAGGAGAAAATTCGGGTATTTCGGCTACCACGTTTGTTATTTTTCTGACTGGTTACACGCATTGTGATTTGTGAGATAGTACTGGCGAATCGAGTTTTCAGCAATTCTTTCTGTCCCCGATATTCGAGTCTGTACTTATGGTGATTTTTCTTTGTGTTGTGGAAGTAATCTGCGACAAATACTTCCTTTGCTTTTCAGAACACTTACAAACCCTGTTTCCTATATGTTATAGGTATTTTATTCAGGACCTCACCTGACACATACATCTCCTCCTTACTTCAGCTGAGCGACTGCTACTGATATGACTGGTTGGACAGACAGCTCCTCCCTCTGTCCAGCCCTAACCTGGGCTCTACTTATATAGGGCTCTGCCAGCAGAAACATGTGGTTTCCAACAAACTGCCACTTGTCCCCTTTATTATTTTTTTTTTCCCTCTTCACTCAAATGGTTTGCTACTTTGAAGTCTAGAGTTCAAAGACTATCTTCCAGCCATTAAAAAAAAAACCCAACTCTTCTGACTCTGCTAACATCATTTAGGATGCACTTGACAGTGTTCAGTAGGTTGTATGGGGGGGCCTATTGTGCTACATACTGTCATATAGGAGAATAGATATTACATATTTGCAAAAAAATTATGCAGCACTTATTTCGATTAACTGTGTTACTTAGATGATTACTTCCTGAAAGTGTTTCCATTATGAAAGGTTCAGGGTTCACTCACAGGATTTATAGAGAAGATAAGCCACCTCGACCAAGAAGGTTATATTAAAAACTATCCCAGCAAAGAAATATTCTGAATTTCAATACCTGGGGATATAAAAATAGATATTCATTGTCAAAGTCAAGATTCCATATACTTTAGTATCTGGACACCTGATTTTTATCATATTGAAAATCGCAACAAATTATTTGAAATAACTGCATTACTTAGAATGATTACTTCACTACTTATTTCATAATTTATCCAAAACAGTAAACTGATTAGTGTGTTGCTTAAATGAGTTTTTCAAACTTTTATAAAAGTGGGTTGAAATCATTAAAGTGAAGGTCAAAAAACTTGAAATGATGCAAATTTACTATGAATTTTAATTTATTACAAACAAATACAAATTATTTATAATGACGACGCTCATCCCAAACTTTTTGTCCTTCTCCAGTGTATAGGCGATCTCGATTCCTCCATATCCTGCAACACTTCCATCAAAATTTTGCCTTGAAATGCCTTGATTTTTGCACCCCTCATGCACATTTCTTTTTTACCGGTGGATGTTCATTTGAATAATTCAGTTGAGAAAAATTTGCTACCATTTTTATCTGCAATAAATGAACAAAAAAAGTGAAAATGTTTTAAGTAAACAATTGACAATAATATAAATGAAAAAAAAAAAATGCACTGTTGATTATTTGTAGCTAATCCGTTTAAATAATGCACTGACTATTGTTTGCATCACGTGACAATAACTAAGTAAAATGATGCACTAAAATAAGTAACCAAGTAATCGTTTTAAGTTCTCTGAATTATCAGTGCCTTTCATGTTCAGCATTCTTTTCTTTGTTTCTAACAATATTCTCCAGTTTTAATACTTTGTGTAGTTTATGGGAGACATCTTTTAATATTACTATGTGCCTTTGGATTCCCACATCACATTGTTTGTTATCTCTTACAATATAACCTAGATAGTTAAATTTCTGTACCTACTCACGCATTCTATCTTTTTACAGTTGATATTCATTTCTTAATGACTTCCATTACAATCTTGTCTAATAGTTATTTTAGATTCCATTACATTATTATTTTTTTTAAAATATCACCTAACAGTATCATCATCACAGCCCTACCAGCATAAATTTAGGAATACACACGTGTTCGCAGGGGAATATAGTCTGGGTGAATATTTATTCTTTTAAAGCATTAAAAAAATAAATAAATAAAAATTGAAATCTGCAAAATTCCTTTATTAATATTTAATTTTTTAAGGAATTTTTTGAAAATTTTCTTTTTTCTTTAATTTTTTTTTTTTTTTTTACTTTGTGTTGTGAATAATGGTGACTCTTATTTCTTTTTTTTTTTTTTGCTTTTAACTCTTTAGCAAATACTTTTTTCACTCTGATGACGATGGCTCTCCGCAACTTCCTGTCTTTTTTTACTAACAGCATTACTTTCTCTTTGTGGTATTTTTTTTTTCTCCATCAGTTTGGTGTATAAACACACCAAACTGCTTATCTTGCTTTTGATATGGCCTGTGTTTTATTCCCTTATACAGTGAGACGATCTTAAAAGGAATTATTAACCTTAACAATATAGATTATACAAATTCCACTGTATTGATGGCAGACAAAAAAAAAAATGCAGGTACATCTAGACAACATTGTAAAGTAATTGATTGATTGATTTCTTTATAGAGCAGGAGAAATAGAGGAAGGTAGTGAGCCACTTACCTGATGAATTTGTGAGAATGAATAGTGATGAGGGTGGGGCAAGAGCTTTAGCGAAAATAGAAAAACTGCTAAGAGCCACAAGGGATATAAAAGTTTTGGGGGAGCCATTATCAGTCATGTCCTGAAGGGACATGGCACATTATCTCCTAACTTTTCTCCCCGGAATTGATCCTCCAGATCTACAAATCAACAATTCGCCCTTGCATGGAGTATTGCTGCCATATATGGTCTGGTGCCCCTCTGTTTGCCTCGAGGTCCTTGATAGGCTCCAGAGGTGGATATGCAATGTAGTTGGCCCTGCTCTGGCATCTCGTCTACAGTCACTTTCTCACAGACGCGCCGTCGCCTCCCTCTGTCTGTTCTACAAATACTTTCATGGAAATTGCTCCGAGGAGCTGCATTTGCTGGTTCCCAGACGTCATGAGTTCAAGCGGCCTACGAGGCTGGCATCCCACTCTCACCCCTTCACTGTCGAAACTCCTAAATGTAACCGTCTCTTCTACTCCAATAGCTTCATGTCTTGCACCTCTCGCCTGTGGAACTCCCTTCCCTATTCCAGTTTCCCTGAGAGCTATAATCTCCAGCTATTTAAGTGTAATGTCAATCGACATCTCCAGTTGCCTTGATCTATCCACTTACCCTTCTCCTCATCCTTTCTTCTATCACTCCTATCTGATCTTGCTCTAAAATTTCTGTAACCCCTTGCATTCTAGTGGCTCCCCGCCTTGTTTGGGGTGAAATGCTTAAAAAAAAAAAAAAAAAACTTTAAATAATTTCCTGAAAGTTCAAGTCAAATAAAATAGTGTTCCAATAACTTGAACCGATTTTAATGTGAATCTAATGACTTTTTTTTCTTTTAGATTTGGTGGACATTTGAGTGATATTATTTTTCACACATAATTGCCATCACTTAAATAACATGATCCAATAGAGAAATAAATAAAATTTCACAAATAACACTGATTTATTTACTGCTGACTTTGATACGTCTTAATGAAACGCCCTTATATATTTTCTTTTTAAAAATATTTTGCTGAGGATACAATTTTTTTATAGCCATTAAAACAAGCATTTTCTTTTTTTATCGGAACAAAGAAAAAACATTATCTATAATTACTGTACATGATAAATAAATAAAAAATGCTGCAAATTTGATCAATTTTAATTTGTTATTCTTCATACTTTGAGCACTGAAAAAGTGTGCCCAGTGATTAAAACGGGATTATTAATAAATACAGTGTGTGTGTGTGTGTGTGTATATATATATATATATATATATATATATATATATATATATATATATATATATATTACAGCAAAATATCAAAAACTGCTTCAATATAGGTACAGTTTATTTCAAATCATTCTTCACATGGCACAAGTTATTCCACTGGGTGCTCTGGTATTTCCCACGATCTATAAATCTTTATCTCAACTAACTTACATTAATCTTAACGGACTTAAATTTAAATCTCCCATCGCTTAGCAGTACAAAAACTATTTACTGTGAATCCCAGAAAAACGCACACTGTGGCTGTTAGAAGAAACACCACATAGCAGGAACTGATATTAAACTACAAACAAAAATCCTGGCCATAAATAAACTCCATACATGACATCATCAGAAAATAAGCATGATGACTATAGTAAATTTAAAGCCGAAATTTCTAAAATTCAATAAACTTTAGGTTTCAGAGAATATTTTCGTAAATTTTTGAGATTATTAAGTACTTAAAAATGAAATAAAAAAGGCACTCACATCATTTTCATCAATTATGTTTTCCAGGTAAAGTCTGACCAACAACATCTGTCATCACCTCATCAAACACAGCTACTGTTGTTTAAAAACATGCATTTCTGCGATATTTTAAACTTAAAGTAAATATTGGTTTCAAATCAGATTAATTATTCTTTAAATCAGCTAATATTTCTCAAATAAAGTTTCAGAAAAGTATATTTTATTTTTAGAAGATTTTTTAATAAAGAGAATGAAAATCTACTAAAAAGGCAAGCTAATAAAAAAAAAAAAAAAAAAAAAGATTATTTCCAGTCAATTTAAATTAGTTTCTGAAAAAGTATTTTACTTATGAGATGTATTAAATTTAATCTATTAGCATAAAATTAAAACTAAAATCCTAAAGTTAAAGCTTAAAGAAATATTTTTCATTTTTAAAAATTCATTTTAAGCCTTAGGTATCATGTTTTTTTTTTTTTGTGGTGATCCCTTATATATATATATATATATATATATATATATATATATAAGAAATGGACAAAGTCTGACAATTTATTAAAGATATTTTTATGTTTAACATTCTTTTTTTTTTTTTTTTATAGATACAAGTATTTAAGTAAATGCTCTGTTTATAATAAACAGTATTAAATAACATTTACCAGCCTGAATGTCCGAGAAATTTTCATAGAAAATATTTGTCCTTTGACAGGATTCGAACCTGCATCCTATACGGAACCGTCATTTACGCTGACGTGCCTTAACCGACTCAGCCACAAAGGAGCGTTCGGTAGGCAAGGTGAAGTTTATAAGCAGTAAATTCGACCTTGCCTACTGAATGCTCCTTTGTGGCTGAGTCAGTTAAGGCACGTCAGCGTAAATGATGGTACTGTATAGGATGCAGGTTCGAATCCTGTCAAAGGACGAATATGAAAATTTCTTGGACATTCAGGCTGGTAAATGTTATTTAATACTGTTTATTATAAACAGAGCATTTACTTAAATACTTGTATCTATAAAAAAAAAAAAAATGTTAAACATAAAAATATATATATATATATATATATACACACACACACACTGTATATACTTGAGTAATATGCGATGATTATTTTAAATACAGCTACAGTAAATGGGTTTGCAGTTTACTCAATAGTGTAGCCACAGCCAGCAGTACATACACTAATTTTATATCTCATGTATGATGCAACCCCCTTAAAATTAACTTCAAAAGTCGCATGTTACACACACACACACACACTTATATACATATATAATTTGCAAAAATAAAAAGAAATAGGAGGAAGAAAATAATCTGCTTTAACTCCCCATAAGAACAAATATTACTGGAATAATTTTGAAATTGATATTCAAATATTTAACTGGTAAAACTGTTAAAAACAAACTATTCAACAAAAATAATGTTATAGTTAACTATGGTTGTGTGTGTGTATATATATATATAGCATAGCATAATTGTATATAAGGATTTTTGTTTGTTTTTTCCGTATATTTTTCTTCATATATATATATATATATATATATATATATATATATATATATATATATATATATATATACAATTATGCTGTTTTAATGTTAAATATGTCAACGTCGGACGTTTCGGTCTAATAAACCATCTTCAGGACATCAGCGCCCGTTAAAATATATATTTCAGTTATCAATTGGATAAGACAAAGATTATGTACATCGTCTTTTTGACTTGTTGAATTGATAATGTTAATTAGTTTTATGAATATGTCCTGAAGATGGTTTATTATTTCGAAACGTCCGACGTTGACATTATATTAACATTAAAACAGCATAATTGTATATAAGGATTTTTGTTTGTTTTTTCAGTATATTTTTCTTCATACTGTCAGATCTATATCCATATATTTATATATATATATATATATATATATATATATATATATAGGATCACTGAAGGACTAAATTTGATTTCAGAATCTGTTTTCGTCATTGAAGAAATACCAGAATTTGAATGAAATTTTAACTTTCATTGTTTTTTGGGGTTTTTTTTTATAAACAACTCGAGATTTTATCCAGCACTCAGGTTGCTTCATTTTTGTACAAGAACTATTATGGAGCTTGCTTGTTTTGTTGCAGTAAATCAGTGAAAATTCAGACACGTTCAGCTTTATTGTTGTCAGAGAATTTGTGAGGGACCCATCCAGCCAATTTCCATACCTTTCCGAGCTTTTTGAGACGACGAACGATGGTTGAATGGTTCACATTGAAGTCGTCAGCCAGCATTCGAGTTGTCAAGCTTTCGTTCTCTTCCACGGCTGCCAAAAGTGCCTGGTCGTCGAAATCCGATGGTCGACCTCTTCTTGGCTTATCTTCCAAACTAGTGTCACCAGATTTGAAACGGGCAAACCATTCCCTGCATCGACTTTCACTGATTGTTCCTTCGCCAAAAAGTTCGTTGAGATCGCGAAATGACTGTGACGCTTTCCATCCTTTTTCAAAGTGGTAAAGCATAATATGACGGATATGAGTATGATTATCGACACGCATTTTTGTGACCTGAAAATAAAACATTTTTTTTATTAAAAAAAATGTAAACAAAACAGCAAATTTATTAACAAATAACTTGCTTAGAAAAACGCCTGATAATTATGCACCAACCCAATAGTACTTATATTGTTTAAATATTTTTATGCTTGGGTCAGATAGAAAGTAAAGAAAAATGTTTCCATATAATTAAACCATTTGAATTTTTTAGTACAGTAAATAAATTTGAGTTGCTGAAGGGACAATGATGTCAGTAAATAAGTTGACTCAGATTTTGTTACCTTTGTTTACAGTTGCATATTTAAAAAAAAAATATTTATACATGAGCCTGCACAAATATAAATTAATCATATTCAGATACCTGCGGTTTTATCCTATCTTGAAATAAAGGTTTTTCACCTTTTTTTTTATAGATATTCTGGTATGAATCCAGAATTGATATGAAATTCATAAGCCTCATTTTGTTACATCAAGAATTTGAATGGCTGAATATCTCTTTGCCAATTTTGTAATATCAACGAATACTTGTCAATTCCGTAATCCTCGTTGTAGCACAGACTTTGTAATTACAGATACAACTATAGTACCCTTGTTGAAAAATACTAGTGTCAGACGCCTTTGAATAACACTCGCACTAATAATACTTGCTCAGGAAGTAACCACCGAATAGTAGTCTGAAGTGATCAGTATAGTAATAGAAGATAGCATGAAAAGAGTGATCAGTTAGACGCCATGCTAACTCCCTATTTATACATTTTCCTCTGCGATCATGTGATCGACTTATTCAAAATGGGATTGCCTGTATTTGCTCTCTGGTGATCTATGTTCAAACTAGAGGGTCGGCAATGACACTTTATTCCTATATAACAGTCACATTGCTAAAATCAACAGAAAATAGTATGTAATTTCTAAAACTGTGACTAAATATTGAAGAGAAACAAATCTTGGGTGAAGTCTATGGTTTTTTAATGTAGAAAGCAACTTATGTGAGCAACATTCAAAGTCGCAAGAGAAAAACAAAATATGAAGCATTCTTTTCACTCAGTTCCACTTTAAAAAAAAAATATCCATAAAATAAAGCTTTAAAGCAAGGGTCGGCAACCTACGGGCATTTTGACCGGCCCATGAGCCTGATTACCAATGACTCTATTTTTTAACATGAGAGACGACCTTCAAATGAAATTTGTTATATGTCATTTTCCATAGAATGTCTACACATCTCAGTGCACTAAAAATATTAGACTATCTGCCAGTTATCTTACATGAGACTTTTTAATGTCAAATAATGGATACATATTTGTTATGACCCTTGGCTACATTAAAAGATAACAGAAGCGAAAGGAACGATAAAGTGAAAGAGGCCAGGGAGGGACTGACATGGGAGGTAGCAGAAATCTAAAGACAGTTAAACATACGCGCATTATACACACATGCCTCATGAATGTGTGGATGATATCGCATGTGTACGTACGTAAGTGTATATGTTTGCAACTCTTTGTACTCCTATGTATGGGTATATGTGCTTCATTTTTGTTTGATGTGTGTGTGTGTGTGGTTCATTTGTGGAACAATTTTCAATAACAGTTTCAAACCTACACGTCATAATTTCATCCATTTCACTTTGGTTGTTTTTTTTCACTTTGAAGTATTTTGACGTTCCTTGAGGAAATGTAATTTTTGTTAGGTGTTTTTTAATTTTAGATTTTCTTTTGTTTTTCTGATTTCTCAATGTTTATTTTCATTATGGTTTTAAATATTTAGGTTGACAGGGGTCTGCATATGTAATTTTCCTTAATTTTTCATTAATGGCCTTCGTCCGGCCCGCGACCTGTCATTATAACACGATCTGGCCCGCGGGGTCGAATGAGTTGCCGACCCCTGCTTTAAAGAAACCACCTAAGATACATTATTATTCACTTATGCAAAGTGTTACGCCTCCTGCTACATATCCGTCAGGCACAGCGGCAATCAAAACTCTGAAGACAAAGTCCTGCGGTTCATGTGAGAAAAATAAGTAAATACGAAATTGAGACTAATTTAGTTCGAATAGCAAAATAAATAAAAAATGTAAAAAGGAAAGATAAGAAAAAATAAGACAAAGAGGTTCAAATCTGAACATAAATCAGTCCATTGGTCTAAATTTTTTTTGTTTGATTTGTTTTACGACATATCAACCTCAACAGGTTATTTAATGCTGACAAGATTCTTATTGCTGGTATTTTTTTTTCCAAAAATGTATAGCTGGTAATTTTTCTTCAAAAATTTATTGCTGGTAATAATTTTTTTTACAAAGTATTTCCGGTATTAAAACCTATTTATGCACTTTCATAGTATTTTAACCCTAGTTTAGGGGTTAACTATTTACCCATAGCTGTGACCCTAACAGGTGCTACCACTCCTTTTTTATATAAAAATGTATTACTAGTATTTTTATACATTTACAGTGTTTCGTTTTTGATTAGGAGTTCACTATTAGACCATAGCTGGGACCCTAACAGGTGCTACCACTTCGGATCAGGTTGGACCTGGGAACACCAGCAATTAAGAGGTGGTTCCACGCTCCTCAAAACCTCCTGATCAGAGGCCTTGCTGTTGGGCGTAGTTTATCATCTTACCCATGATGGTGGTTTAAAGTAGGAGGTTAAGTGGTGGGTACAGGAGGATGTCATATAGTCTCCAGAAAGGAAGAAAGTTACATGAAGTTACAGTCAGCACATGTTGAAAGGAGCTATACATTACAAAGTGCAACAGCAGAATAAATAAAAAGGTAAAAAGGAAAGGAAAGAAGAAATATGACAAAGGAAGCCAGAATGTTGAGCATAAGTGTGAGTCTGTTGGTCTAAATGTGTAAAGGAGATAGAAAGTACCACATATGCTGGTATACAAGGTGCCTGGGCATATAAAACAACTTCCAAATTTTCAAGTTAAAATGTAGGTTTCAGGTTATAGTTGCTGTACAAAATAACCTCTTCTAAATAATATTTTTAAAACGTATTATATTGAATTTATTACATAAATTCAGTAAGCATAATTTTTTTTTTCACTCAAATTCACATAAAATAACAGTGGGTAGATATTGTCAATAAATTACTTCAATCTACAATACTTCATGAGTTGGTGGTGTGTTTTCAGTAGACTACTATGGTAGCCTGAGTGTCTTTTCACCACTAACCATTCATTCCACGGTTATCGAATGCGATCTTTAAACTGCTTGTTCAGACATACATCTAGTTGTGTTTTTGTTCAATATCATTGAAAAAAAGAAGCCAAGGCAGGGGTTAGCATGGGATGCTGGGAAATTTGTCCCGGCTTTCCCGCATCAAAGGGTTGAGGTTAAAAAATTGCAACAAAATGTGAGTAAAAAAACAGCAAGATGAGAGCAAACAAACTCTCTCTTTTAGGTGCAGATGAATAAAGAAAAAAAACTCCTGCTTGGTGTGTAACAATAAGAAATGAAAGTGTTTATTTATATATACAGAAAAAAAAAAGGGTAAAGGGATAAAAAGACAATTAGGAGAAAAAGAAAAGGAAAAAAGAAAATGTCCTTTAAGGGAAAAGAAAATGTTCATTACAGAAAAAAGGCTTGCTCAAAATATTTCTGTGCGTCTAAAAAGTTCTTTAAGCGAGTAGAATTTTGTTAAGGTTTAGAAATACACACAGTTCTTGTAGAGTAGGAAAATTGTTGGTAGATATAGGAATCTTGCAGTTGAGTGAGTTTGTAGGTCGACAACAGAAGTCCAGTGGGCACGACAGAAGGAGTGGTGAAGGGATGCAGCTTTGAATTGGTCTTGAATTGTGGGTAGATGTTTGTTCTTGACAACCCTTTAGTAGGTAGTTCTTTGGTTGAAAGAGGTTCTGAAGTTGACTTGTGCTTTCTGTCGTCGACCTCACAGACAGTGGTCGAATTCTCACTGCCAAATAGGCAAAGATTCTCCAAATTTATGGAGATTTGGTAGGCTCAAAAGAATCAGAGACTTTTCCCTCCAAAATTGTTGAACAAATTTCCTGGCCCCTTCATTGGTCAGAAAATATATTCTTATCTCTGATAAGAATCAGGGCTCTGGGAGCCGGTTTTGCAAGTAATGAAAACAGGTTGGAGTGAACAAGCTGTGAGGTTTCCCCCAGACTTTATGGCACCATGGAAAGAATAATGGTGGTGGAATTCCTTTTTATATTTTCCAGCTCTCTCGTTAGTCAGAAAATATATTCTTATCTCTGATAAGAATCAAGGCTTTGAGAGCCGATTTTGAAAGTAAAAAGAGGTTGGAGTGAGGATAGAAAAAATAGCGAGAATGTGAACTTGTAAAATATTGTTCTCAAATTAAATTCCAACAGGGAGATTTTTGATGGTAGGCTAACAACCAAGAACCACAGGATTTAAGGTTCACTTTTTTTTTACCTGGAGTATAACATGTCCCCTCCCTCCACAATTTTGAGGGTGGATTTTTAAGGTTAAAAAATCACCTTGTAAACCAACATAATACAGTAATTTGCTTACAGAAATACGTTATAAAGTTTCCAATAATAAGTCTATAAACACATGGTGTATGGAGTTCAATATAGAGAAATACAACAGCTAAAATAAATTCATTGCCCATTGCCATCTGCTGCCTGCCAACAAGCCACTAGCAGCTTGCATATAGGGAAGTTCACAAATTATTTCTTAAACTCAATACAAAAGAAAAATGGGAAAAGGTCAATTGTTGATATCTCCTGACGAGTAGACAGAATGATTACTGGTGCGTTTGTCTACAAAACTTTAATGCCATATATACACACACACACACACACATATATATATCATACTTATTATAAAACCCAGGTTGTGTGTGTGTGTGTGTGTGTGTGCCTGTTTTTTTTATATATTGGATCAGATTTCCTACATTTTTCAACTGATTTCAGCAAAACTTCACAGGACTACGTAAAATTACCTTGCAGTGGTTCTGACAGTGCCAAAATTGTTTTTGCACAAAATCAATTTGAAAACACGATTAAGAGGCATCGCTGTCGAG